ATATTTTATAATTTTTTTTAAATAATAATATAATTATTAAAATTTTATAACAGGGTCCCATATTAGCGACCAAAGTTGGTCTCTATCTACTTACCTTTTAATTAGCGACCAATTTTGGTCGCTCATTTTAAATTATATTTATTTATATTTTATAATTTTTTAAATAATATTATAATTATTAAAATTTAATAAGTGGGTCCCCCAATGGCGACCAACGTTGGTCGCTAATCTCAGTATTTCTTTGGCCAAGCAAGTCTGACCAGTCCGTTCAACATTTTGACGAAATTATTAACCAAATAGCGACCAACTTTGGTCGCTAATGTATTTAAGATAATTATTTTAATATTTTCTCCAATTTAGAGACCAACGTTGGTCGCTGTATGAACTGCCTAAACAAGAATTCTTGAACAGCAAACAACCAGTTCAGATATTCACGACCAAGAAGTACTGGATTCTCTTTCGGATAGGCCCTGAAAGGAGAAGGAAGGCTGGAATGCCAACAGGCGTCTATTATATTGAATTTACCCGATAGTCCCCATTTTGGGAATGGGCCTTTTCCACAGAAAAGGGGAATCTTGTGTTCCAATAGAAGCAGATTTTCTTGACAGAATGCCAACAGGCGTCTATTATATTGAATTTACCCGATAGTCCCCATTTTGGGAACGGACCTTTTCCACAGAAAAGGGGAATCTTGTGTTCCAATAGAAGCAGATTTTCTTGACAGAATGCCAACAGGCGTCTATTATATTGAATTTACCCGATAGTCCCCATTTTGGGAACGGACCTTTTCCACAGAAAAGGGGAATCTTGTGTTCCAATAGAAGCAGATTTTCTTGACAGACCTACTTTGGTCGCTAAAGTTTGGTCGCTTTTTTCTGGAATTCTAGTAGTGTTAACTCTTTAAGAGCTAAAAGATGAGCTTCTCTATATATACACAAAGATTTTCTTTCCTTCTACCAATGAGGGACAAAGTGCATTAGTGAAATGAACTCATTCAAAATTTCACTTCCCTCTATTTCTTTTCCCACCATTTTCATTCACACCTCTTTTGTTATTAATAAATAATAACAAAAGCCAACAAATTCAGGAGAGTTCCTTTTGATAAAAAGGCTAATGGTCAATTTTATTCCTTCTCTATGTCATAATTGGCATTTTTCATTCGGCTTGATTATTGGCTTGAACGACATACAGAAGTGAGTTCTACTTGTGCAGTGAAATTTAGTTTTCAAATGAGGGATAACTTTCTCCACAAGATGTAATACTCTGAATGACTGCACGCATGTAATCGTTATGAAAATGAAATTGAGTTTACATTTTGTTTCATATGTGTTTGATTCACTTTGTGAAGTTCCAATCCATAATGAGGAGCTACTAATTAATAATGAGTAGAAGAGGTTTTTTTTTGCCTTGGGTTCAGTATTAGATTGTGTTCTTAACTTGTGGGGATTGTTTATGATTTTTGCCAAAGCTTTTTTACATGTTTAGTGTCATTGAAATTTATTTATAATTAATGAAAGTTGAGCACTAAATAGTTTTTCGATCAACCTAATCTAACTTGGATGATATCTCAGCTCTTGAAGTATAAAAAAGAAGAAATTCAAATATTGTAATTCTTCTTTTGAAACAAATTCTATTTTCATAATGGTATTGTCATTCTATGATTACAGGCAGGCAACAAGAAGGAACTTAAGAGGTTTAGTTGGAGAACCATAAAGGTGTGTGTCTACTTTGTAACTCTTTGTTAGAATTTTGATATGTACACATGCTCTCTAACTTTTTGAATGGGTTGTATTTCTTTATTTATTGCATACACCGGGAAAATATTTCTCTGTTGCTCCATTGGAGAAATGATTTTGTTGACATTTCAATCACATATAGGAGTTATTTTTTATCATATTTCCACAAGAAACATCTAGCATAAGCAATAGGTATTCGGTAATCGACGAATAGTTGTTACAATATGGCAAGAAAAATATACGCAGAAAAAAGAGCAGATAAAGTGAATTCCAATGATGGCTTGTCAAGCATGAGCCATTCCTTTAGAAACAATGATTCTTCAAGTTAATAAGCTAAAGCATTTAAAGTACGATAGTCAAACATCTTATGAGGCTAATGTGAAATAATGGCTACTTTTCCAATTACATGCATAAACAAATTATCAATATGGGACCAATAACACATTCCAAAAACATCATATGCCAAAACGTAGTCATGGATGCTAATTCAAGGTTCATTTCAGCACGAACATATAAAATTATATTGGTATTCCTTACATGAAAAACAAATGTCAGTCAAATGCAGACTGTAAGCTTTAAAAGTTCAAAATAAGGATCTTACTTCATCATAAGATGTTTCTAACTAATTTATGTTGATTAAGAAGCCAATTCTGTCTAAAATCATACTTTTAATTCCATGATATAAATTAGAAGACAATTATGTCATCAAGTTCGAAAAAACCAGAGAGAAACTATAAATGAGAACAGGACATATGTAGAGAACCAAGAAACGAATATGGGAAGAATTTCTAATTATTGATTCCTAGCATCCCTGCACCCGTGTCGGTTCTAGGATTCGTATTCTCGAATCTTAAAATTTCCATCTCAAAGGATCCGACCTCTAGATCCGCACCCGTGTCGGATACCTGCATCGGTGTCAGAGCAACTTAGGTTGTAACTTACTGTTATATACAGTAAAAATAGAATAATAACAGTGACCTCTCTAAGTTCAAATATTTATACTTTGGTCCTAACTAATTAGAATAACTAACTAATTAGTCTAACTACTAACTTCAAATACTCCCCCTCAAGCTGGTGGATGAAGAATGTTCAAGACACCCAGCTTGCTCAGTAAAAAATGATGTTGCCTTGATGGTAATCCTTTGGTGAGAAGATCAGCCTGCTGATCCTTAGATGAGACATACTGAGTAGTAAGCAGACCTTCTTTAATGTGCTCTCGGATGAAATGGCAATTGATTTCAATATGTTTAGTGCGCTCGTGGAAGATAGGATTGGCAGCTATTTGCATTGCTGCCTTACTGTCAAAAAACAGTGAGATTGGTTGAACAATAGAAACTCCCAATTCTGAGAATAAAGCCAGTAGCCACACAATTTCAGAGACTGCTGATGCCATGCTACGATACTCTGCCTCCGCACTGCTTCCTGACACAGTATGTTGTTTTTTTGACTTCCATGATATCAAGGATTCACCAAATTTGACTGCATAACCACTAACAGATCTTCTTGTCATTGGACATGATGCCTAGTCAGAGTCGCAGAAAGCAGTTAAAGTATCTACTTCGTCTCTTCATCAAAACTCTCATGCCTGGTGCAGATTTTAGATATCTCACTACCCTAAGAGCAGCACCCATATGCGACATCTTAAGTAGTTGCATAAACTGGTTTAAACTCTGCACTGCATAGCTAATATCAGGCCGTGTGATAGTGTACCAAATACAAAAATACTTGAGTAAAACCACAATCAGCAAACCAAGCGACGTTAATCCCGAGTGAGAAAATCATAGGTAAATTCAGTTGTAAACCATAGATGAGAATCAATCATTTAAGCTTCTACAGTGGCTATGACAAACTAAACATCCTACTTCTGTTTCCTTGACAATCGCCTTGAAAATTTGATAAAGGGAACACATCTATACAACCATGAATCAAAAATAACAAGAAAGCACATTGTTCCCTTGACAATGTACAATCAAAATTTAGAAGAATACCACGTCAGTTATAAACACTGTTGTGACATATTGTACTAACAGTTATGTAAATGGTACTGTACACTTGGGCCCATCTAATTGGAGTGGTAACACGTGTAATGTTTCTCTTTGTGTAGCAAACCACGCGTACCTGTTCATCTGTGATTTCTCCAATGCCGCCTCTTCTCAACCCAGAAGCAATATGGTATTTTTTCCCTTTCTTCTGCTTCCACTCTTCTCCGGCTCCTTCAAGAACAGCTACGTTATTGCTCTGTTGTGTCCACTTTTATGTTCTATGCTCAAGTTCAGACTTCAGATTATCTCAACATCCTTCTGGGCTTCACTCTCACACCTTTAAAGTGTAATCTCTTTGCTTTAGTGAGTTTCAGTTGCTATAAACGAACCGAATTTGCTTATTCTCTGTTATATCGCTCTCCTTCTACTTTTTTTCCGCAGTCATTTATTCCGTTTATTTTGGTTGCTCTTCCTTTGTTGCTTCTGTTGCTCTGCTCATTCTGGTTTGGTCCATTTAAATTCTCTTCTCTTGCTTGGTTTAGTTGGACAATCTTGCACACGCATGCATCTGCAATTGAGCTTTTTTAAAATTTCTCAATTTGAATTCCAAATTAACTCTGATGTGTGCTTTATTTTTCTCAATTGTGGTAAGTTTTACTATATTCTTGCATTTATTTTAGTGCATTCGATTATTGCTGATGGGGTTATGGTTGGTATATGGTGGTTTCTCTATTCTTTTGGATAGTTTCTTGTGTCCTGAATCCAAATTGTATTGATGGTGTTTGATAATATGCCTCAGTCAACTGCCCTAATTCCAGTAATGTAAAGCAAAGGAAAAGAGAGCAACAGTTTCACCATTGACAACCATTAAAAATCTTTGAAGCTTTGAATTTGGATTTTCAAAAATCATTATTTGCTTGGATTGGATGTTGTAGCAAATAATTGGGAATATTGTTTGGAGTTTATATCTCATTTTTGAGGGTGTTTTGGTGAAGATTAGACTTGATTTTGGCTGAATTTAAGAAGAAGAAGACATACATTATACGGCAAAAATTATAGTAAAGTTGTCGTAAAATTGTAAAAAAATTGTATTATGTTGTTTATATATATTTTTTCATTTAAATATTGTATGAAAGTTAAACAATATTGTATAAAAATGTTTTAAGTAGTATGATATTATAGTTGTATATAACTGGGTAGAATTAATGTATGAAAGTTATAGATAAATTGTATAATATATAATTAGTTGTATGAAATTTATTTTTACTATGTATAAATCAGATACAAAATGTAAAAAAGAAATATTGTATAAAATTTGTATAAAAATTATATTTAAGTCGTTCACGAATAAACGTAATAGTAAGAGTTAGTTTTAAGTGTGAGGCGTTAAATATTGGTAGAATATCTCAATTTGATTGTAGCCATTATTAAAACTCAGTATCTAGTTATTACCATCTCTGTTTTAAAAGGCAGAGTTGGGACTCACCCCAGGGCGGAGCACTTGTAAAACGCTCCTGAGTGTGTGGGACTTAGTTCTGTGAGACTTATGCCTCAGTTGTCTAGGCTTACGCCCCGGACACGCCAAAAGCCCAACGTACCAGGCTCGCCTAATAGAACTTTGTGCAATTGTGTGTAACTAACATTGTAAATCCTTAAATTTTTTTAAAAAATCATTGACTATTCAAAATTACTTTTTTTTCTTAATCATAAATCATTAAGTTAAGAGTATTTTATGTCATAATTAAAATAATTATTGCACGTTATCCACTAACAACTAGGATATTAAATTTCAATAAATCTTTCATTTAAAAAGTGTTAACTTTGCATGAGTATTCAAGTATGACCATCAAATACAATCAGGTTCCACAAGTATTAATTAGTCATCACTTTAATATATCTTCACTATTATCATCAATACTTAACCACCAAAAATACATATTTTAGCAATGAAATAAGAGTTGTTGCCTAGAAAGAGAGATATTACCTTCCAACAGAAAATGGAGGCCATTCATTATATAGATCAAAAGGTAGACAAACCCATATTAAATTAATTAGAAGGTCGAGAATGTGGTTTGCTTTCCATTAACAGCTGAATCTATAAGAAGACATGACATACCATCAATGGAAAAACCAGAAAGGTCCGACATTAAAAGAGTGAAGACGAAAGAGAAGCACATAATAAAGTTTGGGAACTCACAAAGAGAGAGAGAACACCCAAAGCAACGAAGGAGAAAGTGAATTGCAGAGTCTGAGACCCAAAATCTATCCAAAGGGATACACCCTGGTTGGGTGCAATACACCTATTTGGAGATTTTCAATACACTCCTAGAACTGGAGATGGATTTGTTCTTTGTTTTTGTTGAATATTTTTTGTTGAATAGACTTCGGGACTTCATTGAGAAGACTCAAACATGACAAAAATGATTATCTGAGATTTTGAGGAGGTTTCAGGTAAAGTTCATCTTGTGTAATTTGAGATTGACACTAAGCAGTAAGCACGAACAGACTGCTGCAATTTATTCTTCCCTACTTCCTTCTGTTAGCCGCTCTCTATGATCTGTTGCTTCTTTGCTACAAACCTAAATTCATCACCTTGAATCACTTTCTTTATTTAAGAGTTAGGCTTCATTCAAGACTCAAAAAGCTTCTGCTTGCTACTAACTGGTCAAGTTTCAAGTCTCAAAGTGTAGGTTTTAAGGCTTAATTTAAGCTTCTGCCTGCTACCAAGTCTTGCGATTGGTATGTCTATAATTTGCTTTACCTGAAACTTTATATTGCATATTCCTTTCGCTATTAATTATCTATTTTGATATAATTTAAGGACATTCAGAATTTTGATTTGGCTTTTTGATTTATTGTAATAGGGTTCAAAAATCGGACATCACCAAGATTTCAGGGAAGTAACATGGATCACTTAAAAAAACAAGAACAGAGTAAAACTCACAAGTACTGAAAACATAATTTAGTTCAAAAAATTGGTACAGCTTCAAGTACAGTTGTAAAAACAATTTAGTTCAATTTAATTCACATACAAACTCTTGAGTAACATACTGCAGTACACAGAAATTTAAAGGAGGAGATAGAGAAGGAAGCAAGAAGTACTCACTTGTTTCAGCTAGCAGGCAGAGACACCAAAAGGAACAGAGTAGTAAGCCGGCAAGCAAAAAAAAAAATGAAAAGAAAACCCAAATAGAACAGAAGCTATTGCAGGTGTTATTGGCAGTCACCCCTAATCGGATATCATCCAAAAGCAGGTGTTACACATCTGGAAGAACAGCTGACAGCAGCAGAAGCAAGAATCGGTTTGTCTTCCACGTCGATAGAGGATGAGAAAGCGCGTATTGAAGAGAGTGCGAAGGCAAAAGGCGCTGCAGAAAGTATAAAGTGAGTAGAGTGACAAAAATACCCTTACTTTTGGATCAAAAGTAGGGACCTAATTGTAAATCAGGAAGCAGGAACCCGTATGTTCTAGTGAAAGAATTTCAAAGGTGTCTTGGAGAACTCTTATCATAACATGGTAGTTTTACTAGCACAATCATTGTTTGCATTGGTGCTTTTGAGATTATCATTGTAAAATGCTTAAAAAAAGTTGTCAGCAAACTGGAGCTGTAAAAGTTGTCATGCTGTTGGTTTCAGGGAAGATGCTCGGACAGATACTTGTTACTAAACAAACTGGAGCTCAAGGAAAAGTTGTCAGCAAGGTTTGCAGTCTTTTTCCCCATTTACTCGTCAAGCATATAGAATGATAAATTGATAACTCATGAATCTGGATTGTTAAGAATAACTACACTTGACTTTGTCAGTTGATACCATTGTTTGATTTACAGTTTAAACCCTTCCATAAGCAGTTCAATGAACCCACTTGTCTTTACTTATATTTTATTCAAATGAAACTTATTTTTATTTCCGATTTGTTTGCTTGTCATTGCCTCTTCCCCTTATCTTTCCTGAGCCGAGGGTCTACCGGAAACAACCTATCTGCCTTTTTAAAGGTAGGTGTAAGGTGTGCGTACACACTACCCTCCCCAGGCCTCAGTTGTGGGAATACACTGGGTTTTTTGTTGTTGTTGGAACTTCTTTTTTGTAATCAAGTTTGATGCTTCGTAAGTTGACTCAAGTTTCAGCTCTTGTGGAATACAAATTATTGATTAACACGCCACAGTTATCTAATGTTTTTGTTGATGTCACTGCTTAAAAAGGGCAGCTCGGTGCTATGCGCGGGGTCCGGGGATGTCACTGTTAGATATTCTAAATATAATTGTTAGCAAAACTTTCATTTAATTTTGTCATAAGATGTAATTTCTGATCAAACAACACTGCTCTAGTAATGCCATAGTGGTTCTGGCCCCAGGTATGCCACTCCTATTACTAGGATTACTGGGATTTTTGATGTTCTGTTATATGAATTGTGCAGGTTTATCTTTGTGAGAAGATGTCCCTTGTGAATGAAATGTACTTCTCTATTATACTTGATCGCGTTAGTTGGCTTGCGTTCGGGTAGCTTTGTGAGTCTCAGGTCATCGCAGACGCGACAAGGTTCAGGCATTCGCGTAGAGGAGAGGTCAGCTGGGGGCATAGGGTAAATTGCCTAAGCATCTCGGCAGCTGTAAGTTCATGAGAAGAATTGGCAACTATTGTGCATGCACTCAAGATTTGGAGGCATTATTTGTACGGTGTCCCATGTGAGGTCTATACCGACCGCCGGAGTCTCCAGTATCTATTCAAACAGAAAGATCTTAACTTGCATCGACAGAGATGATTAGAGTTTCTTAGAGACTATGATATCACTATTATGTATCTTCCCAGTAAGGCCAACGTGGTGGCTGATGCCTTGAGTAGAAAGACAGAGAGTATGTGCAGCTTGGCATATCTGCTGGCAGCAGAGATGCCACTAGCCATGGATGTTCAGGCCTGGACAAATTGGTTTTTCATTAGAGAGCATCAGTATGACGACCCCCATTGGCTTGTCCTTAAGGACATGGTAGCACAACGATGCCAAGGAAGTTTCTATCAGAGATGACGGAGTGTTGCAGATGTAGGGCCGTATATGTGTGCCCAATATAGATGGGTTACGTGAGTTGATCCTTGAGGAGGCCCACAGTTCGCGGTACTCCATTAATTCGGGCGCCGCTAAGATGTAATTAGGATTTGAGGTAGTACTATTGGCGGAGGAGAATTAAGAAAGATATAGTGGAGTATGTGACTCGGTGCCTAAACTGCCAGTAGGTGAAGTACAAGCATGAGAGGTCGGGCTTTGCTTCAGAGACTTGAGATTCCCGAGTGGAAGTGGGAGCGTGTTACCATGGACTTTATTGTTGGGCTCCCATGGACTTTGAAGAAATTTGATAGTATGGGTGACTGTGGACATGTTGACCAAGTTGGCTCATTTCATTCCAGTGGTGACTACCTATTCTTCAGAGCAGCTGGCTCAGATTTATATCCGTGAGAATGTTCGTCTCCACGGTGTGCAGGTGTCCATAATCTCTGATTGAGGTACATAGTTCACGTCATGTTTTTGGAGAGCCATGCAACATGAGTTAGGCACACGGGTTGAGTTGAGTACAACATTTCACCCCAAACAGACGGACAGTCTAAGCGCACCATTCAATTTTTGAGGATATGCTACGTGCTTGCATATGGATTTTGGAGGTTCTTGGAATCAGTTCTTGCTGCTTGCAGAGTTTGCCTACAACAGAAACTACCAATCGAGTATTCAGATGGCTCCTTATGAGGTCCTATATAGGAGATGATGTCGTTCTCTAGTTGGTTGGTTTGAGGCGGGTGAGGCTAGGTTGTTGGGCATGGATTTGGTGCGGGATGGCTTGGACAAAGTCAAGTTAATTCAGGAACGACATCGTACAGTACAGTCTAGGCAGAAAAGTTATGCTGATCACAGGGTTCGTGATATAGGATTCATGGTTGGAGAAAGAGTTTTGCTCCGGGTTTCACCTATGAAGGGTGTGATGAGGTTCGGGAAGAAGGGCAAGTTGAGCCCTAGGTATATTGATCCTTTTGAGATCCTTGAGAGAGTTGGTGATGTGACCTACAAGCTTGCATTTCCGCCTAGTTTATCGATAATTCACCCGATGTTCCATGTTTCTTTGCTTCGGAAGTATTATGGTGATCGTCCTATGTATTAGATTTCAGCTCAGTCCAATTGGACAAGGATTTAACTTATGTTGAGGAGCCGGTAGCTTTCTTGGACAAACAGGTTCGAAAGTTGAGATCAAAGAACATTTCTTCAGTGAAGGTTCAATGGAGGGGTCATCAGGTCGAGGAGGCAACATGGGAGATCAAGCATGGCATGCGGAGTCGTTATCCTTACCTTTTCGTCACATTAGGTCTGTCTCTATGCACGTCCGAGAACGAATGTTTGTTTAAAGAGGGGGAGAATGTAACGACCCGACTCGTCATTTTTTGTTATTGCACCCCATTTCCCATTTTGATGCTTCACAAATGTGTAATTTTGGTTTTATGACTTAAGGGGTTGATTGGTTTCGTTCCGGGAAGGTTTCGAGTTGATTTAAACCCTTTGATTCTTGGCTTAGAAGCCTAAGTTGATTATGTTGACCAAACCTTGAATTTTGTGAAAACGACCATAGAATGGTGTTTTGATGGCTTCGATAGGTTCGTGTCATGATTTTGGATTTGGGTGTATGCCCGAAATCGAATTCAGAGGCCCGTAGGTTGATTTGTATTTTTTTGTCGAAATTTGGCAATTTGAGGTTTAGAAGTTTGACCGTAGGTTGCCTTTTGGCTACCGAGTTCAGAATTTGTGTTTTGGGACTTGGAATAGGTCAGTTATGCTATTTAGAACTTGCCTGCAAAATTTTGTGTCATTTAGAGTTGATTTGATAGTATCCGGACGCTTGGTTGCAATTCTATAAGTTTTTGAACTTTTCTTTGAAATTCGTGTGTTTTGATGTCCGATTTGTAGTTCTAGATGTTTTTTTTGTTTTGATCATGCGAGCAAGTTCGTATGATGTTTTTAGATGAGTTTCAGACCTGTTTCAGAAAGATTTGACTGAAAATAAGATTTGCTGGTATGCTGGTGCTCTGATGTCGCAAATGCGAGCACCAGCATCGCAATTGCGAACATAGAAGGGGGTCTTAGGTGTTGCAATTGCGATGTCTCGTTCAATTGTGAAGTCTGGGCTGGTTAGATAGTTCGCATTTGCAATGGGAACAGGGTTTGCTTCGTGAACCCACTGTCGCATTTGCGATGTTTCCCTTGGGCTGCCAGCGCCCGAATTGCGATTAATTATTCGAAATTGCGAGGGTTCGCAATCGCGGCAAATGTGCTCTGATGTCGCAAATGCGAGCACCAGCATCGCAATTGCGAACATAGAAGTGGGTCTTAGGTGTTGCAATTGCGATGTCTCGTTCAATTGTGAAGTCTGGGCTGGTTAGATAGTTCGCATTTGCAATGGGAACAGGGTTTGCTTCGTGAACCCACTGTCGCATTTGCGATGTTTCCCTTGGGCTGCCAGCGCCCCAATTGCGATTAATTATTCGAAATTGCGAGGGTTCGCAATCGCGGCAAATGTGACTTCTACAGCTGAACAAAAGGTTAGAAAGTAGGGATTTCATATCATTTTATCATATTTTAGAACCCTAGGCTTGGTAGGAGGCAATTTGGAGAGGGGATTTTCATCTACAAACTTTGGGTAAGTGATTCTAGCCAATTTCCAACTATATTTCATGATTATATCATAGATTTAACATCAAATTTATGAGAATCAAAGAGGAAAATTGGGATTTTTTGTCAAAGTTTTGAAAATTGAATATTTGAGGTTTGAGAGTCGATTTGGACTCGGAATTGAAAACTAAACACATATATGGACTCGTGGGGTTATGGGTAGTCGGAATCTATCCTTGGACCCGAGTATTGACAGGGCAAGCCAGGTGTTGACTTTTGTTGACTTTTCGGAAAATGTGTAAAGATCATAACTTTATCTATTGTAATTGAATTTCTTGTATTGTTTGATGTAATTAAGTCATTTTTGGTTAGTTTTGAGCCGTATGGAGGCGAATTTTAGGGAAAAAGCTATATTCGAGGTTGATTTGGCCTACTTGAAGTAAGTATCTTTCCTAACTTTGTGTGGGGGAACTATCCCTTAGGATTTTGGTTGATTGTGTTATTTGTATTTTGTGAAAGACGTGTACGCGAGGTGATGAGTGTGTACACGGGCTATATATGGTATTTTACTGGTCTAGGTTATTTAGACTCTTTCCATGCCTTCAATTGAATTTTCATAACATGTTATATCTAGTGAACCTGAAGCACGCCTGAAGTGTCGTAGGCCTTTGGGTTCTAAGGATTGAAATACTCGAAAAAGAAAATCGACAAATGATCCAAACGATACTATGAAGGGATTTCCTAAAGAGACTCAAGATCTCATTAGTTCTGAGATTCCTGAAGAAATCAAGGAACCTGAATCGCAAGTGAGTAAGGAACTTTTAATAAGTTCTACCAGTAACGGGATTAATTTAAATCGATCTGAAATAGTGGTGGATAATTTTGCATATGATGTTGCACTTAAAATTATGCAAGATAGTGAGGATCTTGAACCCCAATATGTCGAAGAATGTCGACAAAAATCTGATTGGCTAATATGGCAAGAGGCAATTCAATCGGAAATGAAGTCACTTGCTAAAAGAGAGGTCTTTGGACCAGTAGTCCAAACACCTGCTGGTATAAAGCCAGATGGTCATAAGTGGGTTTTTGTGCGAAAAGGAATGATAAAAATGAAGTTGAAAGATATAAGGCCCGCCTTGTCGCACAAGGATTCTCACAATGACTTGGAGTCGATTATGAAGAAACATATTCACCTGTTATGGATGCCATAACATTTCGATATCTCATCGGTTTAGCCTTATGTGAAAGGCTTGAAATACATCTAATGGATGTGGTTACAGCTTATCTGTACGGATCACTTGATAATGAAATTTACATGAAAATCCCTGAAGGATTTAAAATTCCTGAAGCAGATCCAAAATCTCGGGAAATGTACTCAATCAGATTAGAAAGATCTTTGTACAGTTTAAAGCAATCTGGGCGCATGTGGTACAATCGCCTCAGTAAATATTTGTTGAAAGAAGGTTATATAAATGATGTTATTTGTCCATGTATTTTTATAAAGAAAATGGCTTCATAATTTGTTATACTTGCTGTTTATGTTAATGACATAAATCTTGTTGGAACTCCGCTACAAAAAAAATAGCATTTAGCGACGGATTTTAGCGACAAACTTAGTTCCGTCGCTGCTTAGCGACGGATTGGCTACGGAATAATAGTTTCGTTGGAAAAAAAGCCAAAAAATAGTAGTATATAATATAGCGACAGAATAGCGACGAAATTGAAAAATCGTCGCTAAATATTGTCGCCCTCAATTTAGCTACGGATTTAGCGACAAAACCTGAGCGACAAAATTTTTTTTACCTACGGCGACGGAATTAGCAACGAAATTTCCGTCGCTATGCTTAATTTCTTTATGCTCCTTGCTACGGAAATTTCCGTCGATAATGTTATATCCAGTGAAAAATAATATCATTATTAGCGACGAAAATTAAGCCGTAGCTAAATCCGTGGCTGAATACCAGTTAATTATTTACCCTAGGGCACAAAATTGGTAAAAGTTCGGTCTCTTCTTCTTCTAACAGGGTAGAACGCTGGGAGCAAATATAGGCGGCTGGGAGCAAAATCAATGGAAAACACACTTGAGGGAAAGAACAAGAGCAAAAATTAGTAGCCAACGTGAATCTAAGGTGTGTAGATGGCTTTAATTTGTTTCTTCTTCTGTTTCTTATGAATCAGTAGCTTGATGGCGGTGCTAATGACTACGAATACTATGTTCATTACACTGAATGTGAGTGAACATTTTCAAATTAATTGTTTTCTTGTTACTTTATTTGCATCAATTTGGAGCAGCTAGGGCTTGGAGCTTTATCAGATTTTAATTGTAAAAGGGGGCTTTTTTTTGTATGTAAAGTTCTTTTCTTTCATGGTTGGACTTGTGTTTCTGGTTTAATTGTCAAGATAGGATCTTTTTTACGTGACTAATTAGGTTTTCACTATATTTGTATTTGCTTCTTTTACAGTTTTACTGACTCTTTATGTGCTTGTCTTGGTGAAGAGGTTATGTGTTATTAGCAAAATTGGGTTTTAATTTGACTTAAACTGAATATAGAATAGTATCTATCAAGTCTTGACTTTGGTTGTGATAAGCAATTTTTCTTTTTTTCCCCTTGATGAAATCTCCCAAAGTGCAAGATCCTTTTATTATTCAATCTCCTTTGTTTGTAAGAAGGTTTGGAGTATGTAAATTTTACTAGGGTTTCAGTTTGTTTTATATAATTTGAAGTTGAATTTGAGAAAGTCTGTGGATTAGTTTTTACTGTATCTGCTATTCTACTGCGATTTGATCTTGTGATCTTTTTTTCTTATTTTAGTTGAATAATTGCCATTTATGGCTAACTGTAGTTCCTGCACTTCCTTTTTCTCCATATCAGCAAGCATGTTCTAGCAACATTGTTGACAGGTAAAATAATGTGTCACTTTCTTTTAAGTTATTCAAAGAAATTTTGCCTTGTAGAATCAGTTGATCATCTTTGGTAGATATTTACATCTATTTGGCTTCGAATTTCATCTTTGTTTGGTATATGAGAACTTTTCTTCTGCATATGAAATATTAGTATTTCACTGATCTCCCTGTAGCCATGGTATGATTGAGAAGATGGTGGCATTCTTGTGTTTACTAAGCAGGAGTTTTTGATGTCTTTTTTATATATATTTGTTTGCCTAAAATAATTGGTGTATATATATATATATATATATATATGAGATCCTGTTTTGTTTCTGTATTAAATAGGAATATGGATAATTTAGAGCGTGCTTGGATGTACGAGAGGTTGGATGGCCGAGGGGGTACTAATTCTAATTTTGTAACTGGCGTGGATAGCTTTCTCCTGTTTGCGCGTTCTCAGCGAAATCACATGAGTGGTGAGAATGTTCGATGTCCATGTAAAAAATGTCGCAACATTATATACATGGATGTTAGATTGCACCTTAGAAATTTTGATTTATGATACCCTTTCAACTATTGTCTTCAAATTTTTTCAGGTTAGAACCTAGTGGATTATGCTCGTTGAAAAGATTTAAATCTTTCAAGCATGAACTTGATCCCAATAGAATCAATTGGAAAAGTGTCTCTGACGAGATAAAAAACTTTTATTTGGGAGAATTCAAGATATAACTTCTCATTATATAATGAATTTAGGAAGTGTATTAACTCTTATAAATAAGATATCAATGTTATTACTGTATAAAATTATTTCAGAAGAAATTCTATTGGGACTCTTCCATTGATAGTGCAGTGAGGAGCCAATGGGAGAATAAGGCATCAATCAGGTACAAAGATTTCATTTCAAAAATGAAAGCTAAAAAATTTAGGCCAAGAGGTATTCCAGTAGAAGTGTGGGAAAGTTGGGACCAACTTCGGAAAGATCCCAATTGTGTTGAAACGTCAGAAATAAATGCAAAGAATCGTCGTGGCCTGAAAAAAATTCTTGGTTTGTAGTAACACCAGGCTGTTTTGGTCTCAGTTGGCTCTTGATCCTTCCATTACTATCAATGCACATTTGTAGTGTTCTGTGTCTCTCTTTCATCTTTTTTTTTTGTGCCTTTGTGATATTTATATAGAGTTCCATCAGTGTTACCTTGTGGCACTTTTTTTATGCTTTTAGTTATAGATGTGACAAAACTTCTGGTCCTATAGTAATATTTTGATGCTTTTAAAAATAATTTGTTTTGTATAGGCTGTTGAAAAGGGTCGAGACCCAACACCAAGTGAGTTACATTTGTACGTCCATACACATAGGTATGATAGAAATTCTTTTCTTGATGAGAATGCTCGAATCGTGCATGTAAGTCCAATATTGTATAATCTTATTTACTACAATGTAAAAAGAGTATGAAAAGTATCCTGTCTGTTGGTTAATTAAATGCTCAACATTCTTGACAGGAAAGGTATCAGGAAATATTACAGGAACAAACACAAACTCAATCTGAATATTGATCAATGGAAAGCGTATTATGAAGCCGCGGGAGGGGAGAAGAAGAGAAGAGTATATGGTCTTGGATCTCAAGCAAAATGCTACTATGGACCGAATCTTCATGGCTCTTCTGGATCAGATACTTCATCATCAATACCATCTTCGAGTGCTCAATCAGCATCGAACCTGAATGAGTTAGTGACGCGTTTGATTCCTGCACTAACAGAGCACATTAAGTCTTGTGCTATCTGATCATATGCTTCCAGTATTGACTGAGCGGGTGCGTGAAATGATTTCATCACCCTCGCTGACTTCTACTAACCACCCATCAGATGTGGTACCAACAATTCATGCTCCTACTACTACTGCTACTATTCATGGGGTTCGTCCATCGGTGTCAGATGATGACCTTAACCCCTTAGACTCGTATTTGGAAGCTTTTTGTTTTGAACTTTATTGTTGGTGTTATGGATAATTCGCACCTTTTTGGTTTGAACTTTATTATTGGTGCTAGGGATAATTCGAACTTAATTGTATTAGCTATATGCATTTTGATAATTCGAACAACGGGCATTTTGATATCATTTTGATAATTTGTATGAATTTTAGTTATTATTAAGGATATCTAATAAATATTGCGACAGATTGCGACGGCTATTTTTTGTAACAAAAATAAATATATGAAATAACATTGCGACAGATTGCAATAGACGATTTTGGTCGCCCAATGCATAGCTGAAATGAGTCTCAAAATATTGGCGACGGATTAGCGACCGACTTTCTGTCGCAAATGTATGCCAGCGACGAAATGCGTTGTGAATTTAGCGACACAATTTTCTAAACTAGCGACGGAAATTCTGTCGCTAACGTTAGCAACGGACAATGTTCGTCGCTGGAACGTCGCTAATTTAGCGACGGATTCCATTTTTCCGTCGCAAAGAGCTTAGCAACGAGCAAATCAGCAACACCTGGTAATCTGTCGCTAATCCGCCACTAATTCTGCTTAGCGACGGATTTGGGTCGTCGCTAAATGCTGTTTTTTTTGTAGTGTCCAGAAGTGCTCCAGAAGGCAATTGAATATCATAAGAAAGAATTTGAGATGAAAGATCTTATCGATTTTGATGGTCAGCATCAGCACCAGAAGGTAAGGATCTCCTTCAAAAAAGACTATAAATAAATGAAAAGATATATGTGACAAACACAAGAAAATAGTTGAAGTTAAAATAAAATTGTAAACATATTGTGACATGGTCATTGTTTTTCCTTTTTCTTACAATTGGTTATCTGGGAATAGCTTGTAACATCCCGTACATTCAGACTAGGTGTGGACATATTAAATGGGTATTAATTTGATATTTTAGACATATGAAGTCCTAGCAGGATGAGTATGGGTAAAAATAGTTGTTTTGGAATCAAGACGGAGAGTGAGGTGCATAAGATTTGACAAAATCGACTAAGCTAAGTTTGCAGAAGGTATGTCTTCCAGCAAAGTCTAGTGAAAATGTGTAAGGAATTTGGGAAAACTCAAAGCGCGAAAGTTGTAGGCCTTTGAAATAGCTTTCCAACGATATATTATGGAGCACAAACAGATCTCTGTGCAAAAAGTTATGCGCGTTTTACAGAACAATATGCGATATGCGCGCCCGGTAGCGCGCCCATAGCGCGACCGCGCTAATTTTGAGGCAGTGTTACTGCCGTTTTGCGCGGTCAGTAGCGCGGGCAGGTCTCCAGATGCGCGGGCGCGCTCGTGGGGGGTCGTTTTAAAGCCATATTTCATTCCCCACAGCTCCAAAACATAAAAACTTGCTCTAGAAAGAGGAACTCTCGAAAACCTAACTCCTTAAGGGTCCCTCCACCACCCAAGGTAAGTTCTAATGGTGATTCTTAGTTACTTTCAATTTCCTAACATCTTATTAACATGGGTAAATCCTCCAAATCATTAGATATTTGATTTGGGGCATCATTGTTGAGAGAAGGAAGCCTAGAACTTGAATTGAAAGGGTTTGAACTTCAAAAAGGTAATGTCTTCACCCTCTAATTGATTCTAGCATTGGTTTAACGATTATAAACCCTAGTTCATGAGATATGAGTTGATAGATTTGATAGAAAAACATGAACGATTATAGGTTTGGGGTGTTGATTGTTGATTGTTGGTTAAGGGTGTTGTTTAGTTTATGGGTGATGAAGAATAACGTTGATTATAATCATTTGAGACTTTAGAATTTATCTAGGAAGAAGATAATGGGTTGTGGGGTGTAGAGACACCATTAATAAGGACTATGAAGCTTTATGTCACCAAGTGTTTGAGAAAATGCTTAAGTGACTAAAACATGAGAATTATTGCTAATATGGAATCCCTTTGACTTGTATTGATATAGATTAACGTTGAAAGGGTTGACGAATGTTGTATTACACTCAAGAGTAGGAAGTTAAGGTATGTGAGGCTAACACTCTATGTTTGGGAATTTTAATGATTCTCCCTACACTACGTTTCTTTTACGACGTTACCAATTGCCTCAGAAATATAGTTAAGCCTAGTTTCTTGAATAGTTGTAGAACTTCTATTCTCTAGCTTCATAACTCGTTCACCACATTCATTCTGAACGTTGTGAGCTCAGTGCGTATTCAATATAGACTTTGGTTTGATGCCCCCGAGTCTTAGTATAGATTACTCAGCATGCCATAAATAGTTGAAGTTTCAGTTTTCATAATCAGTTCAAGAATACATGTCTCAGTGTAGTCCTATTCAGTATTCCAGTATCTTGTAACTCGGTGTGATCCAGTATGCCAGTATCATGTAACCCATGTGATTCAGTATTTCACTATCATGTATTGCAGTTTGATTCTCAGTTCCTGAATGTTGAACACCTGTATTTGGGCCTGAGGCCGTAGTTTATATGCTTTATGCATACTTGGGCCTGAGGTCGTAGTTTATGCTTTATGCATGTTTGGGCCTGAGGCCGTAGTTTATACTTTATGCATGTTTGGGCCTGAGGCTGTAGTTTATGCTTTATGCATTTTTGGGCCTGAGGCCGTAGTTATGTATACGTATACTTGGGCTTGAGGCCGTAGCTTGTGCACGTATATATTGGGCCCGAGGCCGTAGCTTATTCAGATAAACAGGTTGTTCATCATTCAGAAGAGGGAGTATTCATATCCTTACTTCCTTTGTTCAGTTCAGTTATCAACTATCATTTCAGTTACCAGTTATCAGTTATCAGTTCAGTTATCAGTTATCAGTTCACTTATCATTTCAGTTATCAGTTATCAGTTATCAGTTATCAGTTCAGTTATCATTTCGGTTATCAGATATTATTTCAGTTATCAGTTATCATTTTAGTTATAAGCTATCAGTTACCGTTTCAGTTTCTGTTTCAATAGTTATCATTTCAGTATCAATTATCGATTCTCAGTTATCAGCTTAGTTTCAGTTTCAACATTTATAATTCTTTCTTTCAGTTGCTTTACATACCAGTGCAATTCAAATGTACTGACATCCCTTTTGCCCGGGGCCTGCATCTCACGATGCAGGTAATGATTTACAGGTTGATGATTCAGAGCGCTAGGATTCTCGTACCAGCTAATTTGGTGATCCTAAGTTCTTTCGGGGCATTATCATTACCTTACAGTCTTCAGTATTTCAAATAGTCAGTGTTTTCAGTACTTCATTAGAAGCTTCATAGACTATAGTAACAGTTAGACATAGTCTCAGGCTTTTCATGTTAAGCAATGTTGGCTACATATATGTTTCAGATTTGTTTTTGTATTTCCGCACTTTGATTTATATCATCCAGACTTTCAGTATATCAGCATGTGTTAGTTTATTTTCCGCATTCAGCATCTTATGATATCACATGTTGATTCAGCTAGCCAGTTGGTTCGCTCTGTCACATGTAGTTAGGCACCGAGTGCCGTGTTACGTCCAGGCCCAGGTTCGGGGCGTGACAAAGCTTGGTATCAGAGCACTAGGTTCAAGAGTCCTAGGGAGTCTATGAAGCCGTGTCTAGTGGAGTTTCCTTTATATGTGTGTTGCCGGCCACTCATATAAACGGTTAACTACCAAGATGTCACGACCCAATTTCCAAACCCGGTCGTGATGGCGCCTCTCGTGAAGACAAGGCCAGCCAACTAACCCAAATCGTCTCTTTAACCATTTTTAAACATAAATGAATAGATAAATACAGCTTAACGATAATAATAACCAGTATTTACAACCCAACACAACCCGACCGGGGTGTCACAAGTCACGAGCATCTAAAGAAACCTGAACACAACTACAGGGCCAATATTATACAAAAATAAATTCTGGAATGCTAAAGACAACGTCCGGTGCCGCGAATGCTGGCGGTCACCTTATTCAGCTACAATAGTAATACCTTCAATCAGCTAATAACCCGCTACCGGGTGAACAATACCTGCAACTGCACGCGAGGTGCAGGGAGTAAAGTGAGACTCCAACTCAGTGAGCAATTAAAGTAAATAATAACTGAGCGGTAAGAAATCACGTAAAAGAACTCCATCATGCTATATAAGACAGTGCAAATCTTTGAGAAAACGGTAAAACCGTGAAAATCCTTTAGAAAATATCTGGACTCAGTTAAAACTTCTTTTGAAAATATCCTTTCCAACAGTTAAGCAAATGAATGCGTAATCAGATAGTGCAAGTCAGCACATAAGTCAGCCCCTCGGGCACAGTACTCCACTAACAATTAACACCAGGGCGTCTGGTAAACAGTGCAAGAAGTAGCATGAATGCCAATGAAATGAGAGTGCTGAATGTCATGACACGTATTACAAACAGGAACCAATGCATGAATGCAATGCAATGCATATGACCGCTGCGGTGTGCAGCCCGATCCATTTGGGTACCCGCGCTCACTGTGGGGGCTCAGACTCCGGAGGGGCTTCTACAGCCCAAGCGCAATATCAATATAACACCGCTGCGGCGTGCAACCCGAGTCATCCATATATCCAGAAATCACTATAACACTACTGCGGCGCGCAACCCGATCCATGCTCAGTCCAGAAATGCACATAAGCCCCTTGGGCAATAATAAAATAGCAGTTCTCAGCTCAAAACGTCAGTAAAATATCATTTAAGTTTTCAAATCATGAAAAATGGCTGAATTTGCAAAACAGTATTAAAACCCTGGACCGAGGTCAAATAACATGCAAAGTAATGCAAAATCGGTGATATTAATCCCTGAAGGATTCAAATAATCGGCACGAAGCCCAAAACATGACAATCAGCCCAAATCATAATGATAACAAGTAGTTTTAGTCAAATACGTAGTAATTTCATCAATCGGGACGGACCAAGTCACAATCCCCAATGATACTCTACCCCACGCTCGCTATCCGGCGTGCAAGTCACCTCAATACAGCACTATGATGTGCAAACCCGGGGTTTCAAACCCTCAGGATATCATTTACAAGTATTACTCACCTCGAACTGGCGAAATCCCTAGCTCGCGACGCCTTTGCCCCTCAAACCGGCCTCCACGCACGTCGAATCTAACCAAAATCAAAGCGAATACATCACAATATGCTAAGGGAATAATACCCAATCGAAAACAATCGAGAA